AAAAAAAAAAAAAAAAAAAAAAAAAAAAATTAGCATGTAGCAGGGAACGAAGACCTGTACAGCTAAACAGAGGAACAGTGACAGATTTTTAGCCTACATGAGTGGAAGCAAAACCACCTGAATACTTATGACCCTACTCTTAACTCTCTCTCTCTGCCCTATCACCCAATGTTACTTAAAAAGGGCAACCCCAACAAGTTCCTTCCCCAGTACCTATGATTTAGCATTCTCAGCATCTGGGAACAGACATACAAGGAGATGTACAGTTAATTAGTCCACTGAGTATGGGTCAAATGAAGATCAAGCGAATCTCTAGAGATGTAGTGCTGGGCCCATCCTCTGTTAACTCAGTCTTCCCACAAGAAGTGCTAATACTTACTGGACCTGACCCATGAGACTTGGCTGTATAGGAGCTTGGCCCATGGAAATGCAGAACATGTACTTGACATGATCCCGTCTTTCCCACAAGTGCTACCACCCTTCCTTCTGCAGTGACTTATGATGCTGGTTTCCAGGAAAAGCCTTTCTTCCTAGAAAAAGAAAGGAGGGGAAAAGCAGCTCGTTTCTCAGCATGCAGGAAGAGATAGCTTTTTTCAGTTATTATTACTATCCATCTTTATTCTTCTTCACTTTCATAGGCTGGCTAAGCAAATGAACTCAGATGAATTATTAATGGTTGTGTAAATGTCAATTTTAGAGCTTGTTTCAATACTTTCTCTATACAGAAGCACTTGGCCACACTTTTACTGAAGCCTTTGACTGCTACTTAGATGGTTACTCCTAAAAATTAAAACAGTACAAAGACCATCCTGTGGCAGGGCATTTGGGGTGCCTGCCATTTTAAGAGGCCAGGCAGCCTGCAAAGCTACTGGCAGGAGTGGGCCAGAGCTAACTGGAGGGATAGCTGACTCAAGGTGTGGCAGGTGTAATTACAAGCCCTGATAGAAGCTGGTAGTAACATCTGGGAGCCCGCTAAGAGAACATCACCTAAGCAAGATGTCTGCAGCTCCAGAAGGTCAGCTTGGAGATAACACCCACAGCAGTCTGGAGGTTTGGAGAGGAACTATGGGGAGGAGGAGGTTCCTAGGGATCTAGTGAGAGGCTGTGTGGGACCAGCAAAGGTCTAGGAACCCCACAAGGGAGCTTAAGTGAAAGAAGACATCAACGCGGATGCCATTTGCAAGGCATGGTGCTGCAGGGAATGGACAGAGCCATGCAATTCGCCCATAAGGCAGTGACCACGGGCACCCGGTAGTCATTTGAAAGAACAATTTTGGAAGCTCTGGGGCAGCCTCACTCATTGAAATAACAAACATCAAAGCATGGCAGACAACTGGAAGGGGTTTGCCCAGAAAATGAGGGCTGCAGGGACTCCTTCAGCCTGCTTCATGGCCACCCCACTCTCTTCCCTGGAGAGGCACCCTGCCACACCTCCATCCACAGTCCCCAATGAAAATGCTTCCGACAATGTTCAAAGAAATTACCCACAACAGCAACAGGAAACAAGTCCTGCCTCTTTTCTCAGTAAGGAAAATAATCAAGTGTTGCAAGACTGCTAAGTAAGGATTCTTGCAATGGTTACACTAAATGCAAACAGCTTTAGCACAAGAGAAAATCAAAGCCAGCCTGTGCAGTTCAACAGCAAGAACAAACACAAAGTGTTAAGCATATCAACAAATAAGAAGAATTTAATTACAATTTTTGGGACTAATGGCAACAATGTATGCTCAAACTGAAAATCAGTATCATGACAGTCACAGTATAAGGAGCAAAGCAGTCTCCTGCTTCAGTAACTGGAAGTTCAGACATTAGAATGGCAAGTTAACACTCCATGGCAACAGGTGCTCCTGCTTTTGCAACCTTTGTCATGGCTCTGCTGAAAAAATTAGACCGTGTCTAGACAAGCATGGATGTTTGGTTCCTCCGGGATGAGAACCAGCCACACACCTTGTGCTGCTGCTACTTGTCCCTGGGGGATGCCTGTGCCACACCCTCTGGCATGTGGCAGGTTACCCTGAGAGGAATAGGGGAGGCCAGCAACTAGTTTGACCCCAGCAGCCTTACCTGAGGTCCAAGGGGCTGGGGAAGCCACAGCCATAGTGCTTCTGAAGCTGGGAATCTGGCCAGCAGCTGAAGCAAGGCTCTGGTGGACAAGGCTGCTGTTTTGCATGGTGTGTGCTGCAGCCAGATGCACTGTCCCACTTTTTTTTTTTGTGCATGGTTTTTTTTGACCCCTAGAAAAAAAATCCCCATGCTGCAAGGTAGCAGCTTGGGAAATGCCTGAATGTGCAGTGTGTGGTACCACAGATGGGTCTGTGGTATGGCGTGCCACATAGCCACGGATGTGGCCTCATTATTTAAAGCAATAGAACAAGAATTCATATAGCACTTTTCATGTTAAATGAGGCTTCACACACATTAGTTAACCCTCATTACACTCTAATAATAATTATTTCCTTTTTAGAGATGAGGACAGAGGCGCAGAGAAATTCAATGATTTGTTCAAGAACAAAGTTTCTGACTAGTAGTATTCACAGCACAGTCCCTCTCTCAGAAGTTCAGGACCTATACATGAAACAAGAATCTGTCCCTTTTTCCTAATCCGAGCAAACATACCCATATATCTATCCTTTTCTTTTATCTGTGTTCTAATGTTGAATCACGAGGTTATTTGCAAGAGTAAAAAAAAGTCAAGGTTCAACAGAATTGCTCTTTCAGACTACATGAAATAATTTGTTTAATGAATCTCAGCTTTCTATAAATACTAGTTTTCTAGAGTAGTTCTCAGAACAGAACAATTTTATCATTTAAAATAGTAGCAGTACAACCACTATCAAAATGCAAATTCTTAAAGTGAAAAATAAGTGCTCCTGCCCCAACAACATAGAACATATTTCATTTACATCTCTAGAAAGAGAAGATTCTGAATGCAGATAAAGCGCACACTGCCACTCATAATAAATATCAGAAGCACCTTTCAAGTGAACCACAGATATTTTTCAGAAAAAACTGGATTGGCAGTTCCATCTTCTCCACAAGACCCCAAGTTTGGTAAGAGAAATTTTCCCCATTCTAAATTTACTTCATCTTTGCACTTAATACCTTTCTTTCACTAAACACCACAGACTAGTTTCCAGAAATAACTGCACAGGGTTTACAAAAAAGTAAATCTGTACGGTGTTTGGGATTGAGAGATTTTACTTCAGTTTGCCACTTCCTTCTGGACTAAGGAAAAGAGAAGAAAGCAATGAACTAAGAAAATTGCAGTGAAAGCAAACAGAAGCACAAGCTGCTTTACCAATTCAACTATAAAACTCAAGTTTCAATGTGTGATCCAGGAAACTGCAGTCCCCCACAGCAGCGATGGATTCCTGAAACCTCCTAATGCCCTTCAGCTGTACTGAGAGTCAGTGACTTGGAGAAGACAGTATTTGCAAGAGACCAAGGAGCAGCAGCTCATCAGCTGGGGTTAAACAAGCATGGTTAAGTCTTCAGACCAATTCAGAGCTCATCATGTTTTGCAGGCTCCACACTGGGTTTGATGAAAACTCCTTCCATCGCTTTCCAGTAGTTGTGATGATTAGGAGTAGACATGCCATGAACTTCCCGTTGGCCTCTGATTGGGTGGCCATACTGTTCCCCTGTTATTGAAAGAAACACCTCGGTTCCCACGTGCTTGAAGCGCACTGTGTCGTCCCGCTCCCAGTATGTCCCACTGCATTGCACAGTCCAGATATCCAGGTCATCTCCTTCACCATCATCACCAAAGGCACTCACTTCCTGTTAGAAATACAAACTTCTTGAAGTAAGAATTTAAAGAAACACTATCAATGCATTTCAAAGAAACTGAGCACTTAGCAGAGATGTAAGCAGTAAGGAAGGGTAGAAAACAAGAAGTACCATTGTACTGTCCTTGTGGCACCTGATCCAATTCAAATGCAGTAACTTACTTCCTTTATGACTGAGGTAAAAATGTCAAAAACAAAAGAAACAAAACCAAAAGAATTACACAGGACAGAAACTATCAGCATAAAGTAGTTCAACAGAAAATACTCGTGAGATGTAGAACTCTCCTCCCTACTCCAGTAAGTTTAGTTGTTATGGAAATTTGTGTTGCAGTATGATTCTCACTTCAGTTACTCTTAGTAACAATTTCTTCAACATAATAGTTTTTGTTGAAAAGTCACAGACTTAGTTTAATTTTCCTAAGGAATCAAATTTCCATTTTACTTAGACTTCTACAGGGATATTCATCTTAGATAAATTCCTACTTAAAACAGTTGACTGAATTATTCTAAAATAAATAAATAAAATAAATAAATAAAAATCTTTTGGCTAATGTAAATGAATTCTCACTGGGTGCGTCTACACGAGACGCTAACTGCATAGTAGCCTAGTAACACTCCACAGTAGTGTGCCAGGCAAAAGCTGTACTAATACACTACTGCACAGTAGTATTAGGCTACTGTGTTAGCGCGGGCTAATACACAGTAGCATTAGCCAGTGCTACTGTGCAGTAGCGCAACTTACTGCACATCGATTTAGTACTTGGTTACCCACAGTGCATTAATAAACATGTAGATGCACCCACTGAAGACAAAAACATATCTGGAAATAAATTTAATCATGCACCAAATCTAGCAGTGTTGTAGAAGAAACGTGCTGGCACAAATGAACCCCTTACCCCATCCCCCAAAACTTTATTTAAAGTTACATCAGATTCAGAAGCACTTGTCCCTCAAGATATTCTTAAATATTTATTGCTAAATATGAAAGATCATTCACCAAAAAATGAAGCCACCTGAAAGTATTCTACCCAAGTTACCTGTGGCCTTTTACCCCCAAGTTCCATTCCTCTTTTGTTGAACTTGCACTTAAAGGCCATGTCCAGACAAGAGCAGAAGTTTGTTTCTCTGGGGACAAGCAGCAGTGGCAAACCTTGTTCTACTGCTATTTGTCCCCAGCAAATGCGTGTGCCACACGTGCACTGGCGCGTGGCAGTCTACCTCGGGTGGAGCAGGGAAGTTGGCCCCAATAATTGTGCTGGCCCCAGCAGGCTTACCTGGGGTCCTGGGGAGTTGTAGCTGCAGTGCTCCTGCAGCTGGAAGCCTGGCTGGCAGCCAGAGTGTGGCTTTGGCTGGCCAGGCTCCGGTTTTGGATGGCGTGTGCTGCCACCATTGAGTGCTGCCCCATTTTTTAGCATGGTTTTTTTTTGACCCCGGGATCTCCTGGTGTAAACCCCACCCCTCCACTGCAAAGTAGCAGCACAGGAAACACCTGCAAGGGTGGTGTGTGGTGCTGCAGATGGGTCTGTGGTGCTACAACCTGCTTGTCTATGCTCATCTGGATGCAGCCAAAGAGGTGAAAATGACATATTTTATGAAACATGGATACTGTTGGTCAGCAATGTGAAATAAGTTTGTTGAACTGAAATCAGAGTTCAAAACTGCCTGACTTCCAGTTAAGCCTGATAACCTAGTTCCAGGTCCCATCAATCACTGGGAAGGCATCTGAAGCCTCCTCTTGCTAAAATGCTGTACAGGATTTACTCCACGTAATGCATAATCCTTTTAAGAAAAGCATCCAGCTCTTCCATTTTTTAAAAGTTAGCAATATATTTATTCTTCAGAGAGCAAAACAACTACAAATAACTTTATAGTTCATCTTCTTTTCTTATGAAAGAGCTCATCATGAGAAAATAAATCACAGGATAAAAGGTATGTCATTGGCCATTTCTACATGAAATGCTACTGTAGAATGAATGATGTGTAATTTTATGCCAGTTTTTACTGGATTCTTCCACTCTTTCAATCATTCTTAAAAACATTTAATATCAGTCCTTTATCTCATTACTGTTCAAATGGCAGTACAATCTAGAAGCCCAAACTAGATCTGGACCTTGTTTTTCTAGGCACCATATAAATAATACGAAACTTATCAAGGACCTTCAAATCTAAATGTATAAATTCAAGGGAGAGACAGGTAAAAGGCATACGATTTGCCACACTTGCACAGTATATCAGTTGCCAAGCCAAAAAGGAGTCGGGTCTTCTGATTCTTAGTCTAATGATATACCCACTATATCATGCTCTCTCCCTCAGAGAGTGCAGAGATGATCATAAACACTTCCAACAGATTTAGGATGTTTATTCTATAAAGGAGCATCAAATGTCAAATAAGTACTTGCTGACAGGCAATGATAGAAGCTAGCAGGGCAGTGAAAGAAAAGATTGCTTTATAGGTGCACAAACATGAAGAATAAATATAACTTTGTATGCAAAGGTTTTTTGGAGGGCTGGGGCAGAAAAGTAAAAGCGAAGACAGAGATTGAGACCAAGTGCTAGAATCGCAAATTGACGCTTACATACTACCATGCTCAGCATCACAGCACTTCGCTTCTAGGTACCCAGACCCCAAAGCAGAACTTACCACCGTTCTCCCTACACGATACCTGGGGACACCTAACGAGATGCCTTGGAGTGGGATTCAGCACAGGGGGAAAGGAACACCCTAAATTAGCCAACAGTAAACACCAACAATAGCAGCAAGGCTTTGATTTCACCAATTTGGGTCTGAACACCTAATACGAGGCTGCAGAAAAGCACCTCAAAATGTCTCCTGGTGTTGGGCAGCCAGAGCCCATTTGGGAAACAAGGTGAGAGCCCCGTGACCTACTTGTGCCAGCCTGCAACACCCCTCACCTGGTTGCTGGACAACGGCGAGGTGAAGTGATGCGTGTGCAAGTTTTTCCCTGTGTTGACGTGGGTCAGGCGTATGGCTTGCCCACACTTAACCGCTGTGCCTCGCTGGCAGCTGCCATCGCTTTTCCCTCGAATGCGCCAGTAGCTGTTGGCATCGTCGGGTGTGTCGACACCAGTCACCGACTGCTGCCCGCTGCCTGTTTGGAGCAGTCCCAGCGAGAGTCAGCAGTAGCCCCCGGGTAGCCCCGCGTTATGCCAAGTAAGGAGCAGCAGGGCCGGACCTCGGGCCCATCCGCCCACCGCACAGCCCAGGAACCGGGGGGGGGGGGACACACACACGCGAAGCGGGACGGCTTTGCCTGGGCCCCCGGCCCCTCACAGGGCTCTTCCCCCCTCCCCCCCGACCGCCGGGCGCTCACCGGATCCGTACTTGACCTCGTGCGAGTGCAACCGCACGCTGTGCCGGGTGTTGAGCAGCTTCAGCACCGACCCGCAGGT